TTGATAAATTTGACTCAAGTACAAGTAAAAGTACTACAGTCAGAGGTCTAATTAAGTAAAAGTACTGAAGTACTTCTTTTTAAAAGTATCAAGAGTACATTTTTTAAAATATTGCATTAATACTGTCACAGATTTATGTACAGAAACGTCCTATACATGGAGTTATGAAAAATGTTAATGTTAATACCTTGGAAAATGTAAAAAGAATTCAAAGCAAATCAGTCATAATTAATCTTGTTGCCATGTTGCTTTATTTAACATTTAAGAAAATTCCAGAAAATTTTGAAATAGAAAAGTCTGGTGAGGTGGGGCCACACCCACAGGGGTCGGCATATTCACGAGATGGATGATGATGATGGACCTGCTGCGTCTCCATCCATTGTTTTGTCTCGAAATCTGACTTTGGCGTAAAGCTGAAGGTGATTGCTGATATAGCATCAGAACAAATAGTTAGATATTTGATGGTCAAAAGAGACCATCAAAGTCATATGTTACCCAATCTTGTTGATCCTTGAACTTCTGAGTTCATAATCTGTCATACCAATGTCACACCCATTTTGTTTGAATCACACACTTATTTTATCAGATTATTATTTTGTTTATGTATTTACTTACAGCGAAAGATATATAACATTCAATAGATCAGTGCTTGCTTGCTTTTTTCTTTTCTTTCTTTTTTTTTAAATTTTCAAATAACGGAACATTTTTAGTTAACTGTCTCAATCTTCATCTCAATCTTCCTCTTAGTTCCTCATCGTCACTGAACGACGTGAACGAAGTGACGGAGGTTATTATTCCGGAAGACTCTGAAGTTTTGATTTTTACCAAATGTAGCTATATCTACCAGTTTTAAACTAACTGAAATTATGCGATGCATGTATTACGATGTGCAAATGATCGTAAACAAATGACCTACTTCCAGCAGAAACGAATCTCTTTTTTTTTACACTGAAATGTCATTGCCTTAGAAGAATTGTTTTTAGCTCTGACACTGTATCTTTACGTTTTGGCATGCTAATGTAAATGTAGCCTACTACTATATATTAGTATATTGTTAACAAACCTTACCTGCACTGTGCGCCATTTTATGCTCAACACCTTGATGTGTACGAAACCGAAAGCAAAAAGATACGTCACGATGAAGCCAGAACGAAACTCGCCTGATTGTTATGCAGATGTACAAATGTATTTATTTATTTAGAAACATACAAAATACCAACAACCCCAAAATACATATCTTATATGATTACAAAAAAAAGTCACAAAACACATGTAAAAAACAAAAATAAAATAATAAAATATTACACAAGGGGGTAATCAACAAAAAATACCTTCAAAAGATTATATAGCCTAATTTAAGGGCTTTTTTGTTATGCACCAGTCTTGAAGTTTTGAAGAAGATCATTAAATCTTTATGGAAAACTAAGAAAGTGGGAGGGTTCTTAAAGATTCTGCATTTATGAATGAAGTAATTGGCCATCAGCACAATATTGTTCACCAAACATTCAAGACACAAGATCGTAACAAATATTTTATAGTTTTAAAATTAAAGCCAGGTATTAAAATGAATGTTCCACCGAGAAATGAATTGCTGATGTTGCATCATATGGTAAAATTAAATGTATAAGATCAGACAATGGAACAGTTTACATCTACTGTGTTTCAGTCATTGCTCAGCAAAAATGCTATAAGACATGAAACCTCAGCTCCTTACTCACCCCATCCAAATGGGACAGCTGAAAGAGCTTGGAGGACTTTGTTTGAAATGGCAAGATGTTTGCTAACTGAGAGTAATTTACCAAAGGAGTTGCGGACATCTGCTATAATTAGAAACAGATGTTTTAATAGACGTCTGGGACAAACTACTCTCTGATAATTGGAAAAAAGCCTGACCTATCCAAAATGAGAGTGTTTGGGTTAGAGTGTTATGTATACAAGTATGATAATGGTTATGACAAAAACAGCCCTGCTTATCTTGTTTTCTATCCAGAAACAGGGAGAGTGCTCAAAAGTAGACTGGTGAAGTTTGTCATAAGAAGTACAAATGAAAGAGATTTTTACAAAATATGCCATGCACATCGCCAAACAAAATGGGCCCTAGCGCAACTTCGCACCCGTGCGGACGCAGCGAGTATAAATGAAGCTTGAGGCGCCAGAATGGCAGCTGATAAAATGTGCGCTGTAGTATGATACGATACTACCATATTTCTAGAAAAGCAGATTGTGGAGAGTCATTAACCATCAATGATCAAAACTCATGATATTGCATAAGCACAAGTCTATTAAGCGACTGTTATCATGTCTGAAAACAAACACAAGTTTACACAACTGTATTGCACACCTGCTACAGGGGTACAATCTACAGTATGTATGATTTAATTGGTCAGACGACACAGTTTCACCGCTGTCTGTTGATCTAATCCAATCATGGCGTAGAGTGGCTGAGTGAATGTGGCCTGGACTCTGTGGATGAGACTCATTGTGTCCGAGACGCTGTAGAAAGACAAAACCCCTGCGCTGTGATCCACATACACTCCTATTCTACTGAGACATTGACTACAGGAAGAACCGTCTCAATGTTATTGTGCCAGAATGAACAGTAGTCTGGGGAGCAGAACAATCTCCAGGACTGATTGTTTCCTCCAGCTAAACTTTCAAGACCATTTCCCTTCCTGCTGATGCTCTTATATGTCACTCCTATGTCCACTCCTAATTTCCCTTCTCCAGCCCACTCCACCTCCCAGTAACAGCGTCCAGTCACACTCTCTCTACACATCGCCTCCGTCCAACAATCAAATCTGTCTTGATGTTTAGGATACGGCTGACGTGTGTCAGTGACGGTGATCCTTGTGTTTCCCTCAGACAGACGGAGCCAATAATTCACTGAGTTCAGATCCAGAGTCAACAGACGAGAATCTGATGGAGAGAAAAACCTCACAATTATTAGTGATCTTGTGTTGAAAAGTTTTACCTTTAACTGGCAAAATCATCTAAACCTCAATCCAGTTCAACCCATCAAGAAGAATTGCATTATGGCCACAACTATTTTGATAACTGATTTGTTTGATAAAAACACTCATATTTTCCTCATTATTTCATTTCCCCTCCTTATGTAATGTCATTCGAGGCAGAAATTTTGAGCACTTAAATGTGATCTCTGTATCAAACATGCTTGCTCTCCGTCTTTCAGCCCAGTGCTAGGATCTTTTAGATCTACATTATGTTAATAGAGATATAAAGGTTTATTTACAGAGATATAGGTTTGACCTTCAATAATAGCAGAGTGTATTCATGCTGTTGCTTGATTACAACCAAAGCCAAGAAGAAAACAACTGTAAACAACTGTTTTTACTACTGTAACATTTTTCAGTCAGTGTGAAAAATCCATCTAATCCATAATGAATGTTGATTTTAATAATTAATTTATCATTTGGTTGAAGCCGATGCTTTTTAAAACACAAAGTAATCAGTAATATAAACAGTACAGTCTTGTACTATTATTTAGCATAACAATCTCTAACTTGAATGGATTTAAGACTTAAATGTGTGTGTGTGTGTGTGTGTGTGTGTGTGTGTGTGTGTGTGTGTGTGTGTGTGTGTGTGTGTGTGTGTGTGTGTGTGTGTGTGTTTTCATAGTAACTCACACTGTAGAAACTCCTCTCTGGTCTGATATTCAGGAGACTGAATGACCTGGACGGTTTTCACTACGGACACCAAAACACATCTGCAGTTTAATTATCATATCAAGAGGAAACTAAATGTACAATATATAATATTAATTAAACTAATTTCTGAGCATTAATTTCTATACATTTAGAAGTACTTTTAAATGTTAGATTTCCATTGAGCGATCGCAATAATTTGTCTTTTTAAAATGTAATGTAAACACATTTTAGCAAAACTGGACAAACAGATCTGGATAATGCGATTGTAAGTCGGCATCGTCCAGCAGATATACTTGTTAATTGGCTAATTTGATGTCCCCACACTCCAAAGACAGAGGTGACGTGTGTGAAAGATTTACAAGCAAGGTATTTTACTCAGACAGACATATTAAGAAATTAGCATGACTATGCAAAACCTACAATAGCTCGATTGTTGCTCAAGTCAGTAAAACCTACTAAAGTACCTGTTCCAGATATGTTTTGTGTCTCCTCGCTGCAGAACTGCAGAAGTTTGTCTCTGAGTTGAGAGACAGATTTCACTACATCATCAAAAGACAGACGAGAACTGACAGTGAAGCCGTCTGTAGATCCAGAGAGAGAGACTGATGACAAACTCTACAGACACAAAGACAAAAACACAAACTCGCTGTAATTCCAGAAGCTTGTTAAAGTCCTCAGTGTTTGAGAAGATCTCTGTTACCTGGAGGAAATGAACATGATTGTGTGTGTGTGAAAGATCCTCCATCTCAGCGTCTCTCCTCCTCAGATCATCGATCTCCTGTATCAGTCGCTCCAGTCGTTCTTCAGCTCGACTCACTGCAGATCGTTCCTGATCTCTGATCAGCTGCGTCACCTCTGAGTGACGTCTCTCAATGGAGCGGATGAGCTCAGTGAAGATCCTCTCACTGTCGTCCACTGCCGTCTGTGCAGAGCGCTGTCACACACACACACACACTGGCTTCAATGAAGAGCTCCAGCACTGGAGGAAAGTCCAAACAAGCTTCTCTTCTTCTCCAAACTCACCTTATGAGACTCCAAAGCCTCTATCAGCTCCTGGAGATCTTCCTCTCTTTGCTTGATTCTCATCTGGATGTTTCTCCGTTTCTCTTCAAAATGTCTCTGCAGAAAACAGAAATATCAATAAATTTACACTACCATTCAAATGTTTGGGGTTTGATCACTCATCATGGGATCCAGTATGAAGCAGTACCTGTTTCTCTGTCCTCGCTGCTTCAGTTGATACAGTGTCATGACTCCTGTGTTCATCCACGAAACACAGCATACAGATACACAGCTGGTCGGTGCGGCAGTAAATCTCCAGTATTTTACCATGTTGAGGGCAGATCATCTCCTGCAGTCGTCCAGTGGCGTCCATCAGATTGTGTCCTTTACTTCTGAAGAGACTCTCATGCTGTTCAAGGTGAATTTGACAGTAAGAGCTTCGACACTCCAGACACGACTTCACTGCTTTCTGTTTATTTCCAGTGCAGGAGTCGCACTGCACATCTCCAGATCCAGTGTGAGGAACTGCAGGAGCAGATTGGAGTCTCGTAGCCTTGAGTTTCTCCACCATCTCAGCGAACACCACATTCTTACCTAAAACAGGTCTTGGTGTGAAGGTCTGGTTGCATAGTGGACAGCAGAAGACTCCCTTCTGATCCTCCTGATTCCAGTAGTCTGAGATACATCTCATACAGTAACTGTGTCCGCAGGGAATCGTCACTGGATCCTTCAGGAGATCCAGACACACTGAACAACTGAACTGATCCTGATCCACTGAAATATTGGCTTCTGCCATTTCACTAAAAAAAGCAGACAGAGAGAGATTATAATTTAGTTTATGCATGCTATGTTTGTGTTCCTTTAATTTACACGATTGCAACAGGTATCACTTTGATCACTCACACACTTTCTTTTTACTTGTTTAAAGCTGTAAAAAAAAAAAATCGAAAAAAAAAAAAAACTCATTGTCCCATCAAGTCAACATGATAAAATCAACAAGTCCTATACAAAAAAAATGTCCATATACATGCACACTATTCTCAGCTGGCAAGTCTGTTTAAAGGTAGATTAAAATAATTTCACAGCAATTTCGACTGATAAAAACCGTTGGTATGGTGAATTCAAAATGCAAATACGCGGGAGAGCCGAATCAGTGGATGGTGTAATATCGTTCCCAAGAGGATTTTTCACAAATTTCAAGACGTCAAATGGTGAGTAAGCTATTGCGTCCTGAAAATTTAAATTATTCTACAAACGTTTTAGAACCCAAAAGTTAGCAGAATATGGCCTCGTGTTTGTGTTTTCCCCACCCATAGCCTACATGAGCAGCGAGCATGAGTGAGGTAAAATGCAGCTTGAAATGCTTTAGTGACAGTAGCAGTATAACGTAGCTACCGTTAAACTAAACATTGTGTGTTTACTTACATGCACAAACGAATCCTATTTTTCTGTTTACTCCCGCTTCGATTCTGAAAAAAAAACAGCGCGTTCTGCGAGCAAGTTAGTTGTGTGTTTTTTGACTAGTTTAATAATTAAACGATCCGTCGATCAATCTATTTGATGTGTTTTAACGCTGCTGATCGATGAAACGAGCCGTGTAAAGTCGATGAGGTTGTGAGCACTTTCGGTTTTCCATGGAGTCACATGATTTACGTGAAATGAAAGTCACAGTTCTTAGTCAAGCCAAAGAAAAACCAAAACCTCTCATATTTTATATTATTAGACCTGATGTATTTCCATAATGTGCTTTATCTTGTGTTGTAGGCCTATTTTCAAGACAATGAATATATTATTAATTTAAGTAGGATGTTTTTGAGCTGAATGTGGCCATGCCAGTTGTCAGGTAATCACATCTTTATGAGCAATAAAATATATGATGAGAAACCTGATATTAATAACACCATATTAGATGTTAAATGAATCTGAATCATGAATTTGATTCTATGTATTCAAAGTCAGCCGGGTGTTAGGGTAAAAAAATGTTCATTTAATGGTTGTTTAGCATCATTTAAAAAAACCAAGTAGCCTATACAACATAACAATATATCTTATCAGAGGAATCTATTTTAAATGTGAACACATATGCAAAAGTATATTTTTTCAACAGAGCTTAGTGCACTAAAACAGACAGAAACATCTAAAACGTGTTCTCTAGAAGTAGCAGAAGCATTGAGCTTTCAGAAACCAATAAATCCTGTTGGTTGAGAAGTTAAAGATGTCTTTAACTGTGGTCAGAGAAAAATATGCACACAATGTTTCAGAAATACAGAACTCATTTATTTTAAACAAACAACTGAGTCAGCCAAAGAGAATTGACAGACTTGTATTTTATGAAAATAGAGGAAAATAATACACTTTTGATAGAATACATCAAGTTTGAAAACCCTTAAAAAAACTAGCTCGTTCAGTAGGGGTATTTCTTACTAGAAAACATGGCTCATGACATCATCATTCTGCGAAGTAACAAAGCCCCTAGAAGATCTGGATTAAGAATATGTAGAATATCTGAATTATTTACTCGGTTAGACAGTCTCACCGCTGTCTGTCTGTCTAATCCAAACACAGCATAGAGTGGCTGAGTGAATGTGGCCTGGACTCTATGGATGAGACTCATTGTGTCCGAGACGCTGTAGAAGGACAAAATCCCTGCGCTGTGATCCACATACACTCCTATTCTACTAGAGACATTGACTACAGGAAGAACCGTCTCAATGTTATTGTGCCAGAATGAACAGTAGTCTGGGGAGCAGAACAAACACCACGACTGATTGTTTCGTCCAACCACACTTTCAACACCATCTCCCTTCCTGCTGATGCTCCTATATGTCACTCCTATATCCACTCCTGATTTCCCATCTCCAGCCCACTCCACCTCCCAGTAACAGCGTCCAGTCACACTCTCCACACACATCGTCTCGGTCCAACAATCAAATCTGTCTGGATGATCAGGATACGGCTGACGTGTGTCAGAGTAAGTGATCACTGTGTTTCCCTCAAATAGACGAAGCCAATAATTCACTGAGTTCAGATCCAGAGTCAACAGACGAGAATCTGATGGAGATACACACGTAATCACTCATTTGACATTATGCAAATATTTTAACATATCAATGGATCTATGCATTAGGATCATAATTTCATAATAATTATAATTTGACATGTCTCAGTTCATGAAAGCTCAGTTCACTTCAAGCAAAACATGGGCTGGGCCCATAAAATGATTTTGATAAATTGATCAATCAGATTTAAAAACAATGATCTCCTTATTTTACATGAAAAACATGATTCTTCATCTTGCAAATTTATGAAAAAATAATTTCAACAACTGTACAAATCTATGCTAAATATTATGTGCAAAAATAAAGTATCAACCCTTCTCACGACTGAGGCATTACAACTGAATCATGATCAAGCGCTTTCTGCATTTCAACTCTTCTGAAGCTTTGGTATCTTTTTGCAGTGAACAGTATGAAGTTTTATTCACTGAAATTCAAGATTTTAATCCTGCTACGTGAACACAGTCATGCACATTTCATTCAAAAGATAATCCGAACTCTGTAACGGGACGCACAAAAGCATGTTACATCAATACCATTGCACGTTATAAGTTTTGGGGTAAAAAGAAATTCAAAATACGTGACGAGCGATTTAATGTTAGTGAATGCCACATCAATGGGATTTAGTACCCAGCAAACAAATTTAGGTTCTGGGAACGTTAGTTTTTGGTTCCCAGAACGTTCCTAGAACTTTCCCTTAAGGTTAAGGGAATGTTCCCGGAACATTCTCCTTGCGTTATAAATATGGAACCTAAAAATAACCTACATGGAACGTTCCTATAACATTCTTGTTTGGTTCCCCAAAAAAATAACTTCATGGGACCATTCAGGAACGTTAGGGGAATGTTCTGTGTTTGCTGGGATACTCGGCCTGATTTACTTTCAACAGTGTATCTCTGAAATCACTTTCTTACTAACGGCTGCGTTCCATTCTGAAGGGCACATCTCTATGATTATAACGTTTCTAAAAACAAAAACCCAAGTTTACATCTCACTCCAATAAACTTATCTGGTTCTGCAACGAACCCCTAGATCACCATGTTTAATTAGCACAGAAGATTGTGTTTGTGTGTGTTTTCATCGTAACTCACATTGTAGGAACTCCTTCCTAGTCGTAAACTGAAGACTTGGGACAATGACCTGGACGGTTTTCACTATGAACAGGAAAAAAACATCTGTGCATCAGTGTGAGTCCTTTAATTGCTTGTATCCATTTCCATTTATCCTTTAAGTCCATTTATGATGAGAATTAAACTACAACCATTTTAACTGTGCTCAAATCTTTTCTGAGTAAATCAGTATTTACCCGTTTTAGATAACCTTTCTATTTCATCTGTGCAGAACTGCTGGAGTTTGTCTCTGAGTTGAGAGACAGATTTTACCACTTCATCAAAATTGGGGCGAGAACTGACAGTGAATTCATCCGTAGATCCAGAGAGAGAGACAGACGGACAATTCTATAGACACAAAGACAAAAACACAAACTGCATTTAGAGAAGCCTGTGGAAGTCTTCTGTCCTGTGTTAAAAAATACATCTGTTACCTGAAGAAAATGAATATGATCATCTGTGTTTAAAAACTGTTTCAGTTCAGTCTCTTTCCACCTCAGATCATCAAGCTCCAGCTCCTGTCGTGCCAGTCGTTCTTCAGCTTGGTTCACCGCGACACGTTCCTGATCTCTGATCAGCTGCTTCACCTCAGTGCGATGTTTCTGAAAGGAGCGGATTAGCTCAGTGAAGATCTTCTCATTGGCCTCATCTGCCGTTTGTGCAGAGCGCTGTTATAGGACACACATAATTTGTTAATGTAACTTCATCATCATGGAATAAGTCATTTTAAGTGACCCAATAAAGCTCTGAGCAGACAGACCAACCCGATCTCACGGGAATTCGTACGAATTTTACGAGGTGGCTAATTCATAACAATTCATACAACCTCACTCATAGAAATTAGTACGATTTTGCTAAATCGTACATATTTTACGAATTGGCCAATATTTTACGAATTGACAAATTAGCACAAAACGTCTAACAAATTAGACGAATTAGCCACTTTTTAATCACTCGTACGAATTTGTACAAATTGGTTGTGAGATAGGGTAGGACAGACATTTGGCAACCAGAATGCATTGCAACATGCTTTATCATTGTCACCATTGTTGAGATTCACAGGCTGATTCTTGATGTCTGTGTGTGCCTACATAGAATATTGTTTTGAAATGTCTTTTGATTTCACTGCCAATTAAAATTGGCAGTGCTGCTATAATCCATAAATTAAACTTCACTCACACACTTGGGTTCTGTGTGAGTTCAGTGTCAAATGATTGTGAAATAACAATTATTACAGTTAAACATAACCAACACCATTAGATCATCTTTTCCATTTGTTCATTTGGCTGATATAACTCATGTACTGCAGCCAAACAAAATGTAAAGTTAATGATGTGAGGGTCAAGCAATCATTACGAGATACCAATTTGTCAGTTGCTCTGATGTAACGTGTAATTAGTAACCTTGATGTTTTAATTGTTGTACCAAAAACCTCTGCATATAATATTTTGAATACAGTCTAACACAGGATGGCTGCTCTGGAAAGTTTTGGTCAACAGGTAGGAACCTGGGTGTGCTCCTATCAATCTTTCCTTTGAAAGCCAGATTTCTAGCATTTGTAAAACAGCAGTTTTCCATCTTAAAATATATCTAAGCTACAGCATATGCTCTAATTCATATTCAGTTGCATCACTTGAGTGAGCTCTTAACACATTATAGTCCTTCGCATTTAGTACGTAAAGCTGCTTTGATACAATGTGTATTGTGAGAATTGCTATACAAATAATTGTGGACTGCAGCCGGTAGATCCTTTTCCTATTTAGTGCCCAAACTCTGTTATTGGCTTCCTAGTGTTATTCAGGAAGCAGACACTGTCATTTTAAATTTAGATTAAAGACATATCTCTTTATTGTAGCATAGACAAAACACACACTATGACATTTCTATACATTTAGCTTGTTATGCTGCATATAATGTAGGTCAAACAGAACTGGGAACACTTCCCAGAGCATTCAATGTACATTCAATGTTTTATTTATTTATTTATTTATTAAATCAATTATCTAATAATTAATTTAAGTCATATCATTTCAAGTCATAAGCATTGTTATTCCTGGCACCTTTATTTTTTATTTTTAAGAGTGTGAATAAGACTTCTCTTCTTCTCCAAACTCACCTTATGAGACTCTACAGCATCTCTCATCTGCTTTAGATCTTTCTTTCTCTGCTGGATTGTTTTCTGGATGTTTCTCTCAGTTTCTTCAAAATGTTTCTGCAGAAAACGGACATTTAGTTAAATGAAATGTTTTTTGTAAACCGGTATCTTATTTATTTTTAGTCACGTAAGTGTGCATTTATTTGATCAAAAACACAATGTCTATCTTTGTAAAACATAATTAATTACAACAGTCTGATTGAGAGAAAAATCACATAACAAATGAAGAGAGAAACATTGATATCATGTCGCTCTGTCGGATCTACCTGTTTCTCTGTTCTTGCCACTTCAATTGATACAGTGTCATGATTTCTGTGTTCATCCACCAAACACAGCAAACAGATACATCGCTGGTCGGTACGGCAGTAAATCTCCAGTATTTTACCATGTCGAGGGCAGATCATCTCCTGCAGTCGTCCAGTGGCGTCCATCAGATTGTGTCCTTTACTTCTGAAGAGACTCTCATGCTGTTCAAGGTGAATTTGACAGTAAGAGCTTCGACACTCCAGACACGACTTCACTGCTTTCTGTTTTCTTCCAGTGCAGGAGTCGCACTGCACATCTCCAGATCCAGTGTGAGGATGATGACGAGGAGCAGAAACAGGAGGAGGAGGAGCAGATTGGTGTCTCACCGCCTTGAGTTTCTCCACCATCCCAGCAAACACCACATTCTTACTTAAAACTGGTCTTCGTATGAAGGTTTTTCTGCACTGAGGGCAACTGTAGATCCCCTTCTGATCCTCCTGATTCCAGCAATCTGAGATGCATTCCTTACAGTAACTGTGTCCACAGGCAATCGTCACTGGATCCTTCAGGAGATCCAGACACACTGGACAGGTGAACTGGTCCTCAGCCCATGAGAAACTGGCTTCTGCCATTTCACTGTATATGAACACACAGACAGAGAGACGATACACACTGCCGCTCAACAGTCGAGTTCTGACCAACTGAAGGCTTTATATATCTTCCTGGTAACATACCAAAGAAACAGGTTTTTCTGCAGGGTGCGACTTACTGTAACTTGTTCATTTCAGTGTTTTTTTTTTCATGACTACACTGTTTAGACAACAAAGATGAACTCATTATGATTTAACTCTGGAAACTGATATCTGTAGCCTACCTTAATAATTCTAGCATCACCAACTACACCACACAATAATATAAATCATGTTACATCACAATATCCAACGCATTCTCATCCTTTAGCGTCATATAGGTGGCGCTATATGAAAAAACGGCGAACGCACATGGCGCCAGTTATCGTTAATATAACACGCGCAGTGATGGGTAGGTTTAGGTGTGGGGTAGAGTAGGCCTAGTCTCATTTTCACGCTAAAGGATTTATGACGCCTTGGGTTCGCGTGTTATATTATCGATGCCATGTGCGTAGTATAGCGCCGTTTTGTCATATAGCGTCTCATATGACGCTAAAGGATGAGAACGGGCTGCAATATCATAACTGGATCATGATCGTGTGAGTGAATGAACTCTCATAGTGAATGTTTAAAAAGGCTATAAATCCAAATACAGAAGCAGAGTGCAACATATTAATTTTAGCATGCTATTAATAATATGATTTAATTTCTGTAACAATTAACCTTTTCCAATGCAATGCAAACAAGCACTATGTGGAAAAATAATTTTAAAATAATATAAATAATCTTCCTTTTTTATAAAGTAGAACAAGCGCTGCGCTTTTAGGAAAGTTTATGTTCGGAAATGTGGTTGGATGAGATCTGAAGCAAAGCTAGTGAAACTATGCACACAATGTTCCAGTAAAATGAAAGTTTGCAGTAATGTTGTATAAACATGTTACTGTGTTGGCGTATTACAGAGCAAGATAATTTTTTTCAGTGCCCTTGACTTTAGAAATATTTGACCTATAGGGAAGTGGTGCCCAATTCCTGCTCTTGGAGGGTCCAGATTTTGAGTTCACTCTGTGAAGAACACTGAAGCAGTGTTTAAGTGATAATTAAGACTTTAATTGAGTGATTATTGACCATTAGTCAATACACCTGCAGATAACAAGCAGAATAAAAGGAAAGAGTCACCATTTAAAGTCACCGTTGTTATTATTATCAGTGTTTACTATATAGTTGGGCTCTCTGCGGAATGGAAAGAAGAAAAATCTGGCTGCAGAATTGCTGAAGGCTTCGTGATTGAGAGGCGTGGAGTCGGACACTTTCTGCTTTCTGTGAAGTCACCTGATCTACATTAAATTAAACTATGCAGTTGTTTATAGCTACTGTTTTCATTCAAGCTAAACCAGAACACGTGGTGTTTATTTTTAAATGCAATGTTCCATTTTCCTGGCAATACAAAACTGAGAGCCAAAAAATGAGCCGAATCTGTATGTCATGATATAGGGCCTACAGTATTACAATAAATGTTTAATCCTATCAGGAAAAAAACAGATATTTTGAATGCACTTTTTTATTTATTTTAAATAAAAAAATTATTAACTAAAAACAATCTTAAAATCTGAAATACATTCATACCTAATGATCAAGATAGCAGAAGCAGTGAGCTTTCAGAAACCTGTTGGCCGAGATGTTAGAGATGTCTTTAAGTGCAGAAAAAAACTATACACAAATGTCCCAGTAGGCATATCACTGACACGAAACATTGTGTGCATTATAAACGTGCAGAAAAATGTGTAATGAATGTAATTTACATTTAAACTAATAACTTCTCACGTTTTCGGAAACTTCCAAAAGACAGTTTCAGTGCAAACTGCAAAGTGTTCAGAGGGCTTTAAACGACACCAGACGATGAATAAGTGTCTTATCTAGTGAAACGATCACTTAATTAAAAAATAAATAACAAAGTTTAAGTTTTATAAGCTCAAATGCTCGTCTTGCTCTGTTCTGTGATGCGCTTTCGTGACTCTCCTGTTCGAACTCGTTCATCAAATTGAACAAATCTTTTTTCGAGTCATTTGGTTCATTCAACGAACAAAATGAACGAATTGACTTGAAAAAAGATTCGTTCATTTTTATGACAGGTTCGAACAGGAGAGTCACGAACGCGCATCACTGGACCTTGAACTGTTTGGTGCCCAGTGAAGTGCAGTATATGGAGAAAAATCCTGCAAAGTTTTCATCAAAAACCTTAATTTATTTTTGACTCAAGAAAGAAAGACATGGACATCTTAGATGACACGGGGGTGAGCAAATTATCAGCAAAAGTTTTTTTAAAAGTGAACTACTCCTTTAACCATCAATGATCAAAAATCATGATATTGCATAAGCACAAGTCTATAAAACGACTGTTATCATGTCTGAAAACAAACACAAGTAAACACAAGTTTACAAAACTGCACACGTGCTACAGGGGTACAATCTATGTATGATTTAATTGGTCAGATGACACAGTTTCACCGCTGTCTGTCTATCTAATCCAATCATGGCGTAGAGCGGCTGAGTGAATGTGGCCTGGACTCTGTGCATGGGACTCATTGTGTCCGAGACGCTGTAGAAAGACAAAATCCCTGCGCTGTGATCCACATACACTCCTATTCTACTGGAGACATTGACTACAGGAAGAACCGTCTCAATGTTATTGTGCCAGAATGAACAGTAGTCTGGAGAGCAGAACAATCTCCAGGACTGATTGTTTCCTCCAGCTAAACTTTCAGGACCATCTCCCTTCCTGCTGATGCTCTTATATGCCACTGATATATCCACTCCTAATTTCCCTTCTCCAGCCCACTCCACCTCCCAGTAACAGCGTCCAGTCACACTCTCCACACACATCGCCTGCCCCCAATAATCAAATCTGTCTGGATGATCAGGATACGGCAGATGTGTGTCAGTGACAGTGATCCTTGTGTTTCCCTCAGACAGACGGAGCCGACGATACACGGAGTTCAGATCCAGAGTCAACAGACGAGAATCTGATGGAGAGAAAAACCTCACAATATTAGTGATCTTGTGTTGAAAAGTTTTACCTCTGCGGGCATACACTGTGCGATTTTCGTCCGATTTTGAGCCGAATTCTGACTCGTGCGACTCTTTTTTCTGTCGGACCGATTTTCAGCTTTGTCGTGCGTCGTTTGTCGTGCAATGTTCGTGCAGTGTACAGGGAGAAACGAGAGGCGATTAGCCTCTCACGATCGACAATCGGATGGTCGGATGAATTTCTGGCATGTCAGAAATTTTGGTCGCTCCTCGTGACTATATCGCACAGTTGAAGCAAAGCTACGAACCGATTGCCCTAAACTCAGTGTTTTTTCCCTCACTGCACCTCCGCGAAAACAGAAGTTTAACAATTTCATCTGCAGCAAAAATAAAATTAAAATAAAAACGAAAAGAGGGAGATCTTTAAGTTCTGTAGTTCATACTAGCTACAAATTACTGTTGCTTACCTCCAGTTCGTGTTGCAAAATGGATATTACCCACCGTCCCCAGGTGAAAAGGAAATGTATTTAAATTGTACTTATTTTGATATACTTAATGTATTTTAAGTGCACCGTATTAAATATGTATTAAATGTGCTAAATTGAAACAACTTCAAGTATATTAAGTGTACTTTAATATATTTAAGTTCAATTTTAAGGTTATAGTAATATATTTTATTATACTAAATTGTGCTAAAATGGAACCATTTTAAGTACATTTAATGTAATATAATAGCACTTATTTAAAGTGTATTTTAATACACTTTAAATCGACTTTAGAAATACAGCATTAGTATATTTTAGCTTCACATTAATGCGTTCTAAGTATATTTTAAATATAATTTCAGCTTATTAATAATGTATTTGTAGAACACTATAGGACCCACTATTAACATATTAAAAATATATTTTTTCCAAAAACCATTTAATATAAAAATAATATATTTTAATGTATTAAAAATACAGTTAAACATTTTAATTCAACAAAACCCAGTAAAAAAATATTTCTACAAAACACACAAACACTCTTTGAAAGATAAACTTTAATGCACTACATCAGTAAAGCATTATGAAAACTAAACAAAATACATTAACATAAAATGCCTTGATTTGCAGAGGTATTAAACAGAACAATAAATAAATAAATAAACTAACTGAAAGTAGTTCACTTTAAAAAAAAAACTTTTGCTGATAATTTACTCACCCCCATGTCTTCCAAGATGTCCATGTCTTTCTTTCTTCAGTCAAAAAGGAATTAAGGTTTGATGAAAACATTCCAGGATTTTTCTCCATATAATGGACTTCAATGGGAACAAAACGGTTCAAGGTCCAATGGCTAACAGTCAATTTGTCGTGAAAGCATGAGAATTGCTCAATTGCGAGTCTCGTGCTGAATGCTTGAGAGTTGGCAGCCCTGACAAATCTTTTTTCAAGTCAATTGATTCATTTCGTTCGTTGAATGAACCTAATGACTCGGAAAAAGATTTGTTAATTTTGATGAACGAGTTTGAATAGGAGAGTTATGAACATGCATAACAGAACAGAGCAAGGCGACCATTTAACTAAACATAAAACTTAAACGTTGTTTTTTTTTTTTAATGACCGATCGTTTCGCTTGATAAGACCCTTATTCATCGTCTGGAATCGTTTAAAGCCCTTTGAACAGTTTGCACAGAAACTGTCTTTTGGACCTTGAACCGTTTGGTTCCCAATGAACTCCATATGGAGAAAATCCTGAAATGTTTTCATCAAAAACCTTAATTTCTTTTCAACTGAAGAAAGAATGACATGGATATCTTGGCATGGGGGTGGGTAAGTTATCAGCAAATTTTTTTTTTTTTTTAAGTGAACTAATCCTTTAAGTCAAACAAAGTGAAATACAATAGCAAAAAGTAAAGTGGCCAAGTCGTGAGTAAAAAGAGAAGTTCGTGACTTGTTCAGTCTGCCATAGACTCTTTTGGGGACGTCATAACCACCGAGGGAAATCTGGAAAGAATAAAAAAAAAACAAGCATTAGTATAAACTTGTTCATTTATAATTCTAATAAAAAGCTGTCACTTTGTTACTTAATTCAGAACACTTACTGAAGTATTAAAGGGTTAGTTCACCCAAAAATGAACCAACTTGTAATGAACCAAAAGTGTTCTCGTCGTTTGATAAACTTAAGATTGAGCCCCTGTAGTCACTTGGACTATTTTAACGATCTCTTTAATGACTTTTCGGGGACAGCAAGAGCCAGTCCCTCAAGAAGTCTATGGACTGTATGCAGGAGCGATCTTAATATCTTAAATATCTTAATTTGTGTTCCGAAGATGAATGA